CCAGGCTAGGAGCCGACAAGGCCCTGTTAGACGTTACGGCCGTTGAGGGGCATCGACATGACCTGGAGCACAACCTACAGACCTCTGACTTCTACAACGAATCCTTGATTGACCGGGCCGTCTCTGACAAACCACCAGAGACAGTGCAGGGGGAGCTAGCTGAAGGTGCCCGGCATGTCGCTCATGCGGTGGGACTTATCACTTTGGATGTAGACAACGTGACAACAGCTGCACGAAATTCACACAAGGCGTTTTATGAGGCTCAACACCTCGGCAACCAGGCCAAGGCAGCAGCTAAGGATGGCCGGACGGATGATGTAAAGAGGCTCATAGAGGATATGGAGCGAGATTCGACAACCGCCAAGGTAGAATCAGACAAGGCAGCAGCAGCAAAGGAAGAAGCCAGGGTTAGGGCACACGACACATACCGCATGTGGCAATTTATTCATGAGGAGCATCGGCGGACCATCAGCCTCACCACCATCCGCGTTGACAAGGCCTGCTTGAAGGCCAGGCTAGCAGCCGACAAGGCCCTGTCAGACGTTACGGCCGTTGAGGGGCATCGACATGACCTGGAGCACAACCTACAGACCTCTGACTTCTACAACGAATCCTTGATTGACCGGGCCGTCTCTGACAAACCACCAGAGACAGTGCAGGGGGAGCTAGCTGAAGGTGCCCGGCATGTCGCTCATGCGGTGGGACTTATCACTTTGGATGTAGACAACGTGACAACAGCTGCACGAAATTCACACGAGGCATTTTACAAGGCTCAACACCTCGGCAACCAAGCCAAGATAGCAGCTGAGGATGGCCGGACAGATGATGTAAAGAGGCTCATAGAGGACATGGAACAAGATTCGACAACCGCCGAGGTAGAATCAGACAAGGCAGCAGCAGCAAAGGAAGAAGCCAGGGTTAGGGCACACGACACGTACCGCATGTGGCAATTTGTTCGTGAGGAGCATCGGCGGACCATCAGCCTCACCACTATCCGCGTTGACAAGGTCTGCTCAAAGGCCAGGCTAGCAGCCGACAAGGCCCTGTTAGACGTTACGGCCGTTGAGGGGCATCGACATGACCTGGAGCACAACCTACAGACCTCTGACTTCTACAATGAATCCTTGGTTGACCGGGCCGTCTCTGACGAACCACCAGGGACAATGCAGGGGCTAGCTGAGGGTGCCCGGCATGTCGCTCATGCGGTGGGACTTATGACTTTGGATGTAGACAACGTGGCAACAGCTGCACGAAATTCACACAAGGCGTTTTATGAGGCTCAACACCTCGGCAACCAAGCCAAGGTAGCAGCTGAGGATGGCCGGACGGATGATGTAAAGAGGCTTATGGAGGACATGGAGCGAGGTTCGACAACCGCCGAGGCAGAAGCAGACAAGGCCATGGCGGCAAAGGAAGAAGCCAGGGTTAGGGCGCAAGACACATACCGCACGTGGCAATTCGTTCGCGAGGAACACCGACGGGCTATCAACAAGATTCTCCATGGTGTCGATAAGGACTGCTCCACCACCGAGGCCGCATCCAATCGGGCTTCGTCGGATGCCACAGTCGCCGAGGAGGAGGCGCACAACCTGGAGCAGAACCTAAGGGCTGATGGTTTTTACAAGGAATTCTCGGCAGCCCGGGTCGCCTTCGACAAGCTCCAGGCTTGGGATATCCAGGCCCAAGCGCAAGGTGCAATCGCCACCACGGGAGTTGAGAAGGCGGTCGCTGCGGCGAGCCAAGTCAAGGTCGATGCTGCTCAGGCCTTTGATGCTGCCCAAGCATCGCTTAAGATACTGAGCGAGGTTCGACATCTGCGAGCCAGGGTAAAGACGACGGCTGAGGAAGGCAGGATGAAGGACTTGGAAGAGCATGTCGTCAGAATTAGGGCTGCATCGGCAGACGCCGAGCAAGAGTCGAGCAAGGCTGCGACGGCGAAGAGGGCTGCCAGAGAGCACGCCCAGGGCGCCCATGTTGCTTGGTTGTCCGTGCGGGAGCAGCATTGTGAGCGAGTTGCTGAGGTTGCCAAAACGGTTGACAAGGCTTGCATAAGTGCCGCATCGCTCTTTACGTTGGCCCGGGCTGAGTTGGCGGCGGCCGAACAGGACGAGAGCACTGCGCACGCCCTTGCGGCAAACGCAGCTCGCGACGCCCGCGCCGCCCACCAGGTTGGAGTCGGCGACTTCCACAAGGAATCAGCAGCCGCCTGGACACAGCTAGCAGACTACAAAAACGCCGTCGAGAAAGTCGTGGGAAGCGCCACTAGGCTGAACGAGGTGGCGAGCAGCTTGCAGGAGAAGGCTGATGAGATTTCGGGAGGCAAGATCGGCGGAGTGGCCGAGAACTGCGAAGAGGTTCTTGACTATGCTATGGATCTTAAAGGCGACACCGAGACCATCTGGGAGAAAGTCGACTGGTTCAAGCGAGTGGCAGCCAAGGCAGACAAGGGGAGGGAGATGCAGGCCGCCGCCGCCGCGGGGGCCGCCACCATCTTGATGGGAATCCAAGCCGACGTTCAAGCCGCCGCAGGGGCTGCTAGCGGGGTGGCGAAACTGGCTGATGAGATACGCCGAATCGGGGTTGACGCCAAGGCTGCGATCGCCCTAGGCGGTGCGGATGAGGCCGAGGCTGCCATCGGGCAGCTGAAGGTGGCCCTGGACAAGTGCGAGAACGAGCTCCAAACTGCGGTCCAGAAGAGAAAGGATGTGCAGGTGAAGATGGCTCAGTTCTCCACCATCACCCATCTTGACATGGCCGCTGGCTCTGATTCGGCGGGCCAAGATCCCACCGACTCTGAGGGGAGCACCGACAGTGAAGATGATGAGTGAGAGCGAGAGGAGTGCAAAGATTCATTTCATCTATTCCATCAATTTGCTCTGACTTTTGTATTTTTTTTCTTTTTTTTCTTTTTTTCTTCTTTTTTTTTCTTCTTTCTTTTTTCAATTATAATCTACGTGAAAAGGAAAGCAGGTATCGCTGTTTCCGTCGTAGCTATCCATTAACAATACCTGAATGCATGGAGCCTGGTCGGGAGGAATGAGAGGCATATTAAAATGGAAAAAGCCGAGGCAGAGATTAAGGACGAAGGATTGGACGAGCGGAACGGCGCGGGGCTGAAGCGGCTGTCGAAGGCTGATCCGCTTCACGCGGGACACTATTGAGAAGGTCATTTCATGAGAAAGGGGATGAATCAACACAAGGCATAAAGTCAACCTCAATATCAATCTCTCATTCCATCAGCATCCTCTCCTTGACCCTCAAATAGGAGTAACTCTCAACTTATCCAAATCCTGACTAGCCATCTGCCACCTGCCACCTGCCACCCGGCCTGCCTCGCCCCATTACCGATCAAATACTCCCTCGCCGTCTCATTTCCCCTCATAATCCACTGCACCCACCTCGCCCCGATCATGCCAAACTTCCCCGTTTCAATACGCAATGTCGCTCGGCCCGCCCATGAAGAAAAACACAGGCTTGCGGAAGTTCCTCACACGGTCGTAATCCCCCAGCAGGCCGCAAGACCAGCCCCCGAAGTTTTGGACGCGGGGGTCGTTACTTTGGCTGTAAGCCTCCACACCATTACAGGAGAATCCCGCGGCGGGAAGGGCGCTTGGCCGAGGGATTTGGCGGAGCAGGTGCCGTTGCCTCAGATCATGACGGGGAGTTTGACGCCTGCGGGGACATTACAGGGGGGGGGGGGGCGTAGAACGTGTGCCGGTTAAGGTCGTTATTAGTGTAGTAGTAGCACTGCACAGGGGGTGTTAGTGATGTGGATAAGGGCTGGGGGGTATGATTGGCGTATCACTCGCTCTTTTTTTTATGTTTTTCCTTTCTTTTTCAAACGCGTCTTCTGTTTATCAATCTGCTCTCCCACCTCCGCTTCTCAACTCCGAGTGAACACCTCCTCCGCCCAAACACTTCATGGCCGCCCCAAGGCACGGCTGACTAAATTTCCAGTTCTTCCAAAGAGTTCTGGATGTAGCCCAGGGACTTGAGATTGAGATACACCGAGGCATCCCCAACCATCGAGGTCTCCTTCCTCAAACGAGGCAAGTCCGCCACCGCCATGGCCCGCAGCTTGGTCCTGGCTTCCTCCGGGTCTGCCTCAACCCGCTCGTTTCCGGAAGCAATCTTGCCGCCAAAGACGTTGGGAATCAGCTTCCCGCATCCGTTGTAGACGGCTAAGATCTTGATGGGATCAGTATTACAACCGCACTTGTTCCCACTTACTGGTGAACATATCCCTGATCGAGCGGAGCTTCTGGCACGAGTCGAGCCGGTATACCGCAAATTCCTTCGGTATGTGGACCAAGATCTCGGGGAAGTGCTCCTCGCTGTCGTCCACTGCGATGCTGCTCGGTGGTGAGGCAAAGAGGGTGCAAGCTGGACAGGCCAAAACGAGATGCCCTTCCCTGCGATATGGGCCACTGCGCTGATGAACTTGACAATCGGAGCATTCGGGGTCTTGGGCGAGTGAGTCGGGCTGTGGAGAGGATGGGCTGAGGGGGTGAATGGTGAACCACGAGCTTGGGGAGGGAGCCCGAGTTTTTTAAGGGCGGGCGCCGGGGTCGATTACAAACTCTTGATTTTTGCTAGCTAAGTTGTTCCCATAGCACTTCTTTTGAGCCTTTTACGGAGAGAAAACTAGAGCGACTGGTTAGGGGCAGCGATATCGGCAACCCAGGACAGAAGCTGTGTCCAAGGCTCCAAGTTCGGCAATGGCCCCCTGAAGAGCCTAGATGATGCCTTGCCGGACCGAACAAAGAGAGCTATTTCAGGGGCCTGTCCATGCTGGCTAGGTACCTAGGTAAGTAGGAAATGATCCGAGTGCCGTTCATGAGCTGTGACTCCCAGATCAAAACTTGAAACCCATAATACTGTTTCTTGAGCACAGCGGGGAGGTCCCCACCCAAGAAAAACTCTTCCCACCACAGTGGACTCCAGCCCCATATATACCACAGTTTGCTTTCAGCATCCCAACAAGTTGGATACAAACATCAGCCCGGCTAGCTCAATCGGTAGAGCGTGAGACTCTTAAAGCTTCTCCACAGCTGCAGGCATCTCAAGGTTGGGGGTTCGACCCCCCCGTCGGGCTCAATTCCCGGTGAACGACATGTTTCTCTTTTTCTTTTGGTCTTTTCTGAATATCCTACATTTTTGTCACGACATATACCTCACTGTCATTTCCGATGCAGATATGACATGGCAACCGCTCAACCTACTCTTCCCCGACTCAACACTCTCCTCCCCCGGGTATACGCACACCATTTGCACTCCCGGATTACCTCCAGCTATCTCTTGCCTGTTGTTGGCAGCTCCCATAGCTGCCGTACCAAAAGCTTGATCGGGAACGGTGAATATCTCCTTATATCCAGTTGGCGTGAAACCCATCCGCTTAAAACTCTTTCTTCCTGCATCAGTGGCAGTCAGAGCTATCAAAAGCACAGTCCCGGTGTTAGCAGCCCACACCAAGTCATGATAAACAAAACCACCTTACCAGACAGCCCAACAACCCTCCACCGGCCCACCAGCGCCGCGCGACTGACAACCTCGTCCACAGCCAACCCAGCAAACCGAGGCCACCTGCCCCGACCTCCCCGCGACACCCCCGGCCCCTCGAACCGCTCAACATGAAAAACATGCACCCCGACCTCCACCACCCCCGCGCCCTCCCGACCGTCGGGGAACATGGCCTCGGCGTCCACATCGGCCTCCCTGAGCTCCCCGCTGAGCAGCCGCTCCCAGTGTGACCGCACAAGCGGCAGCGCGATCATGACCCCGACGACGACATGATCGCCTGCGATGGATTCCCCAAAGGATATCGACAGGTCCGGACAGGCGGCGACCCAGCTTCGCAGGCGCTCGTACGGGAGCGGCGCGGGATACATGGCCTGGTCTGAGGCGTAGATGGTTTGGAGGAGGGCCGAGGGGATGGGGCCCCGCTGGAGGGGTGTGTCCATTTTATCGGAGGGGGTGGTTTTTGGTGTTGAGAGGTTGCTAGATTGGATTTCTAGGCTAGGGCTGGAAATTGACTCAAGGAACGGACAGGTGGTTCCACTGGGGTTAGGGGTAGGGTTAGGACTGGGGTGAAACAGTCCCAAATGGTTATATCTCATATCGGTATAGCTGGGTATTTGGAGGTGACTAATCATACTCGAAAAGTGTTTAAAAAGAGTGCATGGCAATCGCCTTTTTTCTCTCCCGGCAACACTGCCGATATAACCCTGGTGGTACCCAACACAAGTCATCCATAATCACGGCCAAGACACCGCAGAGCTGGAGAGGAACCGACCTAAGATCCTCAAGTCCATAGTGTTTCTTGGGCGCATGTGAGGACCAGGGCATGTGACCATGATGCCTGTAGAAAGAGCAAGGATGGCGGCGCCAGTGAACAGCTTCATATTGGCAAGATTCTGCATCTTGAGCGGATGATGGCAGAATGCACTGGCAGTGGTTTCAGGGGAATCGGCTCAACGCTGGAAATCGTATGCTTGGATGTCATGTCTTGGAGAAAACCTCGATGGAAAATGGACTCTTATAGACCTACGTGGATGAACCTTGAGTGGATCTCGGGGCTGGCTGACTCCCCATTCGCCCACCTTCTTTCCGATGGCAACATCTCGATCAAGCATGACAACATCGCCGACCCGATATCCCACACACCACAGGAAGCCGGATGCGTAGTCCCAATGTACTAAACTACATAGGTTTACTTGGGAATACCCAGCGAGGTTTATAACCGTGCTACCAATACTCCCCGAAGCCTGCATATATCCGACTGGCTGTCATACAACCTACGCAAGTCCATAACCCCTATCCCGCCTTGGCCGACCTTGAAATATTCCCTACCTCCCCGGCGCTTTTCGTAAAGCGCTGCTTGGCATACATCCCTCATTGCACAATCAGTTGCGCTATACAAAACGCTAGAATATCCTATTTCGTTGCCACGGTTCACCGCAGAAGGTGATACTTGGCTTAGGTCAGTTTTGGACCGAAATACCGTATCTTGACACTAAACCATCGCGAGCCGGATACCTCCCGATGTAGGCTGGGAGAGAGTCGGAAAAAGGTGTTTTCGAAATCCGAAGAATTCGACCATCTCAAGTTGCACATGGATGCACACCAGAGACTACATCACGGAGTGAGTACTCACGCGAGCCTTGTAAACCATGGTTGAAAGGAATGCGAATGCTCAATTGCTGGCTAAAATCTGGCAGCTACTGCCAACGCGTTTTAAGATAGGTAGGTAATTGCAGACAACACAGGCTTGTTAAACATCTTCAAAGCTTCGGGGCCGACGACGCAGAGCCCTGGCCAGCATCAAAGCGATCGAGGTTTGATACCTTGACCCACGCCGCCACAAAGTCCTTTACCAGCTTCTCCTGCCCACCGGCACTGCCGTAAACCTCGGCCAAAGCGCGCAACTCCGAGTGGGACCCAAAAACGAGGTCGGCGCGTGTGGCAGTCCACTTCTTCTCGCCTGTCTTACGATCCGTCCCCTCAAACACCTCATCGCCCTCCACCGACTTCCACGCGGTGCTGGGGTCCAGCAGGTTGACGAAAAAGTCGTTGGTGAGCTTACCGGGCTGCGAGGTGAGGACACCGTGCGACGAACCATCGTAGTTGGCACCAAGGACGCGCAGGCCACCAACCAGCGCCGTAAGCTCCGGCGCAGTGAGGGTGAGAAGGTGCGCCCGATCAACGAGGTATTGCTCAGTGCGCACACGGCCAGTGCCCTTGCCGTAGCTGCGGAAGCCGTCGGCATACGGCTCCAGGTAGCCGAAAGACTCGACATCGGTATCCTCTTGTGAGGCATCGGTGCGGCCGGGGGTAAAGGGAACCGAGACGCCCGAGGCCTGCTCGAGGGCAGCGACACCACCTAGCACGATGAGATCGGCCAGGGACACCTTCTTGCCGCCGGATGCAGAACCGTTGAAGTGTTGCTGCACGCCCTCAAGCGCGCTGAGCACCTCGGCCAACTGGGTGGGGTTGTTGACGGGCCAGTCCTTTTGGGGCGCGAGGCGGATGCGGGCACCGTTGGCACCACCACGCTTGTCGCCGCCGCGGAAGGTAGAGGCCGATGCCCAGGCAGTGGAGATCAGCTTAGAGGGCGCCACACCAGTGGCCAGGATAGCCTTCTTCAGGGCAGTGACGTCGCTATCGTCGACCAAGGGGTGGTTGGCGGCCGGGAGGGGGTCCTCCCACAGAAGCTTCTCAGACGGGATCTCGGGACCCAACCAGCGGGACCGGGGGCCCAAGTCGCGGTGGAGCAGCTTGAACCAGGCGCGGCCGAAGGCATCGGCGAAGGCATCCGGGTTATCCTTGAAGCGGCGAGAGATCTTTTCGTACTCTGGGTCGGACCGCAGGGCAAGATCACTCGTCAACATGGTAGGCAAGTGCTTCTTGCTGGGGTCGAAGGCGTCGGGGATGAAGGGCTCGGCGTTCTTGGCCACCCACTGGTTGGCACCAGCGGGGCTCTTGGTGAGCTCCCACTCGTACTTGAACAAGTACTCGAAAAAATCGTTGCTCCACTTGGTTGGCGTCTTGGTCCAGATGACCTCGAGACCGCTGGTGATGGTGTCGGGGCCCTTGCCAGAGCCGTGCTTGTTGGACCAGCCGAAACCCTGCAGCTCGATGGGAGCGGCCTCGGGCTCCTTGTCCACGTTGTCGCCCGGAGCGGCACCGTGTGTCTTGCCGAAAGTGTGTCCGCCGGCAATCAAGGCAACAGTCTCCTCGTCGTCCATAGCCATGCGGCTAAAGGTAGTGCGGATGTCCTTGGCAGAGGCAATGGGGTCGGGGATGCCATCGGGGCCCTCGGGGTTGACGTAGATCAGGCCCATGTGCACAGCTGCGAGGGGCTTCTCGAGGTCGCGATTGTGGATGTCCTTGTGGGCCTTCTTGTGCTCATCGCCGTCAATAACGCCGTGACCGCTCAAGCCGGCCTTGCCGTTCGAGTAGCGGACTTCATTGCCCAGCCACGTGGTCTCGCCACCCCAGTAGGCAGCCTCATCGGCCTCCCAGGTGTCGGGGCGGCCACCAGCAAAGCCGAAGGTCTTGAAGCCCATGGACTCGAGGGCGACATTGCCCGTCAGGAGGATCAGGTCGGCCCACGAGATCTTGCTGCCGTACTTTTGCTTGATGGGCCACAACAGGCGGCGGGCTTTGTCGAGACTGACATTGTCGGGCCAGCTGTTGAGGGGCGCAAAGCGCTGCTGGCCCTGGCCGCCGCCGCCGCGGCCGTCGAAGACACGGTAGGTGCCGGCGCTGTGCCAGGCCATGCGGATGAAGAGACCGCCGTAGTGGCCAAAATCGGCGGGCCACCAGTCCTGCGAGTCGGTCATGAGGGCCGTGAGGTCCTTCTTGAGGCCCTCGTAGTCGAGCGTCTTGAAGGCGGCGGCATAGTCGAATTCCTTGTCGTAGGGATTGGTGGCAGCCGTGTGCTGGCGCAGGATGTTGAGCCGGAGCTGGCTGGGCCACCAGTCGCGGTTCTTGGTGCCGCCCCCGCCGACGTTGGAGTACTTCACAGGGCATTCGGCCATGGTGTCGTTTGGGGAAGGGTGTTGGGGACAAACTCTGTCAAGTCTGGCAATCCTGGAATCCTGGAATCCTGGAATCCTGGAGCGCTGGGATGATGCTTGGGACACGGCAAGCAATTGGTGGGTGAGGACGTCAGGAGAGGTAGGGAGGAGGGGAAAGAAAGGCAGGGACGCCCAGAGCAAAGAGCAAGAGCTTCTTATCCGATTGCCCGAAGCATCGCGCCATTCAACCCCGCAGTTATGATCTGGCTAACACTGCTACACTCGGATTGACGCGGGTTCGCACAACCCCGCCGCCGGCCCACGTACCGCCAGATGCTGCAGTAACGGATACCAGAAATACAAAGAGACGCCAAACAAAAGGCCAGGAATGCCCCTCATCTGGCACGGCAGCGCGAGGGGGCCACATGTACCCGCGATACCGCCACCTGACTGGCGGTGTCCCAGCTAAAACAGTTCTGAGGGAGCGAGGAGTTGGGAAGCTCGGAGGTTCGGACAAAAGCGGGCGGGGGGGGTTCCAGCCCAATGAGAGGGATGCCGATTCCAATCCCGCCACGCT